GGATGCCAATTCCCACTGGATATCTGAAATCCAATCTGAGACATCCCCATAAACCTTCTACCTGAAATTAACTTTGATTTACATAACAGGTATCAGATTTGAGAGACCTGGTGTCTGTCTCGTTACCTGTACTACCAAACAATATGCAGTCAGTACTAGAGAGGTGGACTATTGTGATTTTGTAGTCCCCCTATGAATTCAGTTCCTTCAGAAGTCCACAATATATACTTGAAATTCAGGATTATTCAGACCCGGTTGCAAAGTGATAATGGCTGTGATCTGCATCTATGGTAGCATTTAATTATCCAACAATGTGACGTAGTGATTCTAAAAGCCTGCTGTTTGAGCCTGATAAGTAGCTATATGATAAACTCTGAGAGCTTTCTAAGTCAGCCCACAGTGGCTAGTTTCTTAGTATTTAGTAGTTTTAATACAATTAATGACATATAAATGCAGGAAATGTAAAATATGTATTAAAAAATTGAATTTTACATATTTTTTTTTTACTTGCAAGGGGAATCTAAAGCAGTCATAGGGAGAAGATAGGTAAGTTAATGTAAAATTTACATCAACAGTGTAATAATCAAGACAACCGCTGAAGAGAAAGATAGGAAGTACTTGAGTTGTATTTATCACTAGGTTATTGGTAAGACCTTAAGATAAATGTCACTTGTTACTACATAAATACTTCTATAGTAAGTGCATTGCAGCCCTCTCACTTCTGCTACCATAAAAAAACTACCAAAAAAACCTTTAAGACTGAGCACCATCAAGTGCTTACAATAGCTATGCTGTACCTGAATAATACATTAGTAATAACTTTCATCTTCCTTACTAGAAAAATGCAGAAATAATCTTTTAATTTACAACACCTATGACTTGAACCCTTATATCAGTGATGTACTGCTCACACACAATGCCATATTAGAAGTTGTAAGAGAACTACAAATTAACGAAAAAGTGGTGTCACCTTGAGAAAAGTTTAAAATGCCTCTAGTTGTAGTGATTTGTTGCCAAATTAGTTTATGTTCAATGACATATAAAACTGAAAACCAGTATGTTATCAAAACTGGCCATAAGGGGCATGCACAAAGCCCCTCAAACTGCAAGATAAAGTTCCACACCAGGAAAGTAAAGTGTTCTAAGTTGACTGTCAGCCCTTTTCTTGAAAAATTGAGTGGCTCTTAAAAGAGCCTTTGGGTTAAACAGTATTTCGAGGAGGTATTTACTTGGAGCTGGTGTACTTGGTGACAGCCTTGGTACCCTCGGAGACGGCGTGCTTGGCCAGCTCGCCGGGCAGCAGCAGCCGCACGGCCGTCTGGATCTCGCGCGACGTGATGGTGGAGCGCTTGTTGTAGTGCGCCAGGCGAGACGCCTCGCCGGCGATGCGCTCGAAGATGTCATTGACGAAGGAGTTCATGATGCCCATGGCCTTAGAGGAGATGCCCGTGTCGGGGTGCACCTGCTTCAGCACCTTGTACACGTAGATGGAGTAGCTCTCCTTGCGGCTCTTCTTGCGCTTCTTGTCGCCTTTCTTCTGCGTCTTGGTCACCGCCTTCTTGGAGCCTTTCTTAGGCGCGGGCGCGGACTTGGCCGGCTCGGGCATGGCTGCGAAATCGCGACTATCGCCAACGAACTGAACCTCCCCAAGTGTAGCCCAGTGGCGTAGTGACGGCAACCGGCTCGGTGCCACATATTTATAGCCCCCTTATGCAAATGAGAGCATCAGTCTTCCTCACTCTCATTGGTCAAACTAAAAGGCGTCATCATTCCCCCATAACCTGGTTTTATTGGTCAGAATTCGATTCGCCTCCTCATTGGCTGCCCAGACGAGACCTACTTCTCAGCCTATCAGCGCAGGGACGAGGTACTAAAGTGGGGCTGTAGTCGGGGTGCGCCGTCTGCCGCTCCATCCTGCTGCGATTTGTTCCTAGCGGCGAGCGAGCCAGAGAGGATGTCCGGGCGCGGGAAGCAGGGCGGGAAGGCGCGGGCCAAGGCCAAGTCGCGCTCGTCGCGGGCCGGGCTGCAGTTCCCCGTGGGCCGCGTGCACCGCCTGCTGCGCAAGGGCAACTACGCGGAGCGGGTGGGCGCCGGCGCGCCCGTGTACCTGGCGGCCGTGCTGGAGTA